TGATTGACAAAAAACTATCTATCACTACATATTCATTCGCTGAGATTTTACAAATATATTATTCCTATTTAATGTCTTACATCAACTCGGCGCTCAAATACTGTGAAACTACTCGCTCTAATTTAGACGAGAGTTCTTATATATCTATCACTATGTATAATTTATCTATGATTTATAATCTAATAGTATTGAATAAGAATTTAAGTATGTTTAACTAATATTTAGCGAATAGAATAAAGGCAGCTGGAAAATATAGATAAACAGCATCAATTCACACATTATTGTTGTTTAAACCAACAAAATTTTCAATATTATGTATCAATCGTTTGTTTAAATTTGGTTGTAGAGCAATCACTCACTGATGACACTAGAAGATGAATAAACAATTTCACCAATTGACTGAAGATAGTCACATACACGATTGGTCTAGAGATTAAGTGCTCGCTGTGAGACCTGGAGCTCCTTTATTCATTCAGTGATGTTGTGGTGGATACTCAATCCTGAATGGTCACACACTAAGACAAGACATTTCTCTATTGCTTTCAGCTTTTTAATGGTTGTCTAACTAATAGGTTTTTATGATATAAACAGTACATATTTGTTAATTCAAAATCTTGTTTTATATTACATTTAGAGTGAAACTTGACTTAGCCCTATCATTTAATAGTTATTTGTCATAAAAGAAACTGAAATTAATAACTTAAGAGAGTCTAACAACTTTCTACTTATTGATAATGCATCACTATGAAATAAATTTGTTTGAACATGAATTGTTATATTGTTAATGTCTCTACGATGCAAGCGATTTTGATTTTTTGACTGCTTAGATTATTCTTATGAGGTATCAAGACCAAAATTTTCAAAATTGCTCTTGTCTCGAGGTGTCGATTGATTTGTATTCCTTTTTTAATAGTAATCTTGTAACATTTATTTATTTGTTTTGTTCAGTTTTAATTATATGAATGTCATCTGTATTATTTATTCAACTGACCAACTGAATAACAAAATCTGTTTATCAGAAGGGTTTATTGTGGATATTATTGTAATTTCAATAGTTGAGATCATGAGTCAATTGAAGCTAGACCACCACCGACAACGGTGGATATATCACTCAATTTGGTGGATCGGTTGAAGTTAGACATTAACACCGTTGGATGCCAACTTGGTGGTCTAGAGATTAAGCGCTCGCGCGCGAGATTGATAGGCGGGATAGTTGATACGCACTGCTGAGGAGCCCCACAATAGAACGAAACAGCCGTCCAGTGCCTCCAGTTTTTCCATGGTGGTCTAGCTTCAAATGACTCATGATCTCAATTATTTAAATTCTGTTTAGCTTAATATCAGTCTAATGTTATTGTTTTTTCTCCAATTTTCATACAATTTAAAAAGCATTGTTATATGAATGTGATGTACGATCTCTAAGGTTAATCGATTAGGATTTATCTTTTAATGGAAAATAGATTGCAAATATTCAGTCAGTCGTGAATTGAATAATTGTATCGTAACTGTAATTAACTATGATACTGAATGACTTGACACCACGAGAATCATTAGTCACATCAAGATTTCAAATAAGCTGAGCTAAAAAATCCCAACTTATGGTAATCGGCTTTCTACCAATTAATTTCAGTTAACTGGTTAGAACTCTACAGTTTAACAATTATTGATTACAATTGAGCATAAACTAATCTGATTATGTTTTCTTAACAGTAATTAGAAAAATAATCCAAAATGTAGGTTTCATTCCCATTTGAAACTTATCCTTTGTTGATATTCGAAGATATATTAAGATAATATTCTGACAAAAAAAATTCCGTAAACATAAGCTAATTTATAAAAAAAAAGGATAGAAACAACTCAACGACTAAACAATTCAAACAAAAGTTGCGTAGATTCATGTCATTAGAATATTTTCCAGTATTTTACCAACAAAATTAATCCTTGTCGCATGAAGAACGATAGCAACCACTTTTGTTACATAAAAATACTGAAAAAGAGAACAGAAGAAAACAAAAATTATTTAACTAGTGAGCTGACTTTTAAGAAAAACTGTCAACATGTAGTAATAACAAAACATGCTTGAAAAGTTCAAACGAGGATTGTGAGTGAGATTAAAGATTTACATAAACATTTTAAACAATAAACAAAAAACAAACTGACAAAATAACAGTCGAATAACGTAAGTTTAAAAAAAAACTATGAAATACCCAGAATTAACATGAAAACCTTGTTTCTTACATTTTATAACATGAACTGATCTTAGTTTCAACAACCGTAGAAAACCAGGGAGCAATGGATATTGCCTCGCCCCGATATAGGACTCCTTAAACATATATATCAATGACCTTATAGGAGGTCAAACTTCAGATTCTTGGTCTCACGGCGAGCATTTAACCTCTAGACTTCTGAATTGATATCCGGTGGTATATATGGATAATCTAATTCAATTCGCAATGTTGCACAAGCACCTTAGATTGTCCTATTTGTGTAACTTACTGAATCACATCAAACTATGGTCTAGATATAGTTGATGTTGTAAACTCGGCAATCACCAGAAACCTATAATATTCAAATACTCACAGAATAATCTGTTATACTTAACCGTTCTGCTAATAAAACTACCAGTGTGGAATATATAGGTAAAGAACAAGAACTCAGATACAAAACAATCGAATATTTTCTTAAAATGTGAAAACCATACATTAAATGCATTATTTGTACATCATCCTTCAGTTGTATTTTGCATGCTTCATGATTCTTTAAATTATGCTGTTATTACAATTACCCTCTGTTTCCCTTCCTGTTCTCTTCAATTTAACCTCATGGAGCATATGTTTTTACGATATCAAGATATGGATGTACACTTAGATGCACTTATAAAACCATTATTGTTTAGGTCGAAGTATGCGATAAAATTCAGATCATTATTTGCAGTAAAATATTTCAGAAGTAGCTTTTTTTGAAAGGAAACTTCAAGTAACTTTTCTTCGGAAAGTATGTACTCTGAAACACAACAATAGTTTTATAGAAAATTTTGAATCAACTGGAAGATAATGACTTCGTTCCTGAGAATGCCTGATTTCCTTGAATTATTAGAATCTCACCGTTCAGCTGTAGATTGGATCTTGAATTCAAAGAGGTCAAATATACAGCAAGTAACAGTTCAATACCCAATCATACTATAGTCTCTCACTTTCAATTTTATTCATAATATTACTATGTGTTTGTGATGATTACCGAATTTTCATAATTTATATCAAGGATTTACATTAATTAGATGACCATTGATAACCAGAAACCACGGGATAATTGTTTCGCATAAATATCTGAGGCAGTATCGTATTTCAACATAAATTTGACGTGTTGACCATTGAATGCCCACTCTGTGATCTACAGTTTCGGTGTTCACTGCGAGACCTATATGTCCAAGGTTTACTGGTTGCTTAACTAAGATCAGCCGTGAACATAAATCATGTGTTATGTTAAAGATAAGACAATGAAAGCCTACAAACGTAACAAATTTCAGATATGTTCAAACATGACTATTACTGATCTTAATTTCTTTCATTTAAATAACATGGAAGTAATGTAAAAACATTCCTTAATTAATAATTAACTAAAATGAGATAAAATCCCTTAAATATTACCTTCTAGATAACAGACTGATTATATACTCAGTAACCATAAGAGATGAATAAGCACTAAGTTAATCACATATACACATACACATACTTATTCATATTCACAAATCACCTAGTCAACATCAAATATTTGGAAACAAATACATAAATTTTCCGGTGTTAAACTTCAGTTCTACACACAGATAAACAAAATAAAAAATACATTATTTATGAAAGATAAACGATTTCTAAACTAAATTCACTTAGTATTGTTTGTTTGAATCTTCCCATCGATGTGTTAGGACTGCAACTGGTCAGTCTCTAATTGGCATATGTGCATACTGTGCGTATTGCCTCGATATAGCCTTCATTCACAAGTATTATAAGCAAAAATGGATAGTGGCTAGCAGTGGAATCCAGGACGCGCGTTCCGTCCTATTTGGGACTCATCAGCTAGATGTACCTGCATCTCAGAGTTGATGTTCACTCTGGGACTAAACTAATCATTAACTACTACGGAAAACAAAAATGTAGTACAGAGTTGTATAGATTTAATTGGTAAGAGTTTTCTTGTTAATATTTTTTACTTGACGACAGTGGAATATTGTTAATTGGCAAACTTTTCACAAAATAACACATATGTATTCTGTATAAACCTATAGATATGTATAAAATATATTTACTCATCTACATATCAAGAATATTAGATTTATGAACAACTTTCTCGATAATCAGGTTTCTATCCCCATCCTCCCAATCTCCCTCCACTATTGTCCATTTAGTTTTGTTTTTCATTGAAGCTAACTTCCAATCTCCGTAGTATGTCTAATAATTCTTTTTTAGATTTAAAAAATAAGGACTTTTTTAACATATTAAACTTTTCTATCTTAAAACTGCATCTAATTCAATGAATTTACTTCCTTATAGTTTGATTTTGCCATTGAATACTCTGTCATCTCAACTATATTATTTTGAAAAAGACAATAAGATAATTAATGTGCAGACTAAACAAATACATGATTTTCCGTTAAGAGCTTGTTAAGTAAAAAATTTGAGAAATACTTATGGTAAATTTTCACAACCGTCAGTTTTGTGAAATTTTGGATGCTTAAGGAGTATTCATGTTCACAGTACGACTTAATATTCTAATATGAATGTGGTCTATTATAGAGTTCCAGAACAAAAAAGAAATAACTCTCTAAGGCTTTCCAGTTTTTGGTAATTCTTCAACTAATATCAATCCATAACAGTAATCACAATTTCAAATTATTCAGTTTATCCACTTGACTGGATATGTGTATCATATTTTTTGTGATTTCTTCATTTTATTCCATAATTAATTTCTTTTTGTATGTCTATTTAACTTTGTTCTGTTAACAGATTTGGGCATCTGTTCTACTTGTATTAATGATTGCATCTGTAATGTGCTATTGCTTATCAACACATGACGTCTTCCGGACAAAATCCACTATTATGTTATCATATAATGGCTTACAGTCAGTTGAATCGAATTCAAATAATAATAATAATATTTATATTAATAACAAAGAGAGTAATTTAATGAATAAACAATTTCATACTGATCAAAAAGCATCATATCAAAATTTTCTATCTACCACAACTAATACATTGAATACAATGACAACTAAAAATACACAATTTAATAAAACATTTAATAATCCAATATCTATTTGTTATGATTCATTATGGCATCCAAATCCTAAAATACAAAAAGATTGTTCAACTGAACCATCTGAAGGATTAGTTACATTTGATATTTCATTAAATTGTTTATTCACTATTGAATTTCTGCTCAAAGTTTTACTTGCACCAGATAAACCAAAATTTCTTTCATCTATTGTATCAGTATTTGATATGGTGATATTAATTAGTTATTGGGTATATATGTCATTATTTTATTATTATTATTATTATCCTAAAACAACAATGACAAATAATATTGAATTAAAAATTGAATTAAGTGGATATTTATGGTTATTGAATATTTTATCAATGACACAAGCATTACGTATATTACGTATTTTTAAAATATCTAAAATATCTCGTGGATTAAGAGTACTTATATTGACAGTGAAAAAAAGTATACCAGAATTAGTTCTATTAGGTTTTCTATTAATGAATGGTATGTTTTTATTTTCTTCTATGATGTATATAGCTGAATATCGTGTAAATGATACATTTCCTGATATACCACAATCATTTTGGTGGTCAATTATCACATTGACAGCTGTTGGTTATGGAGATATGCATCCAAAAGGTGGAGCTGGTTATTTTGTCGGTTCATTAACAGCTATATCTGGTTGTATTGTCACTGGATTAGCAATACCAATAGTTGGGAATAATTTTAATACTTATTACAAATATATGAAAAATCAATTAATGGAAGATAAATACTTGAAAACATTACGTAAAGATATGGAAGCTACAGGTGGTGTCAGTGGAACTAAATCAGGTTTAGGTGTAGCTGCAGAAAAAGGTGGTTTACCATTGCCAGGTAGAAAACCACGTAATATCAATCGACGAATAATACGTGGTAGTAAAATAAGTAAAAATGATAATATGAAAAGTAGTTTAGTAAATATGATGGAAATTTGTACACGATCTATGAAACGTTTATTACCAACAGGTTTAATTAATAAAAATAATTGTAAACCAATTGGTGTGCCTAAAACTCCAACAACTGATTCTATGCAATTATTAACAGAAAATCAAAAACTTCCCAATGTATTCACTCGTAAAGCAACTATACATGAACTAAATGAAGGGAAGAATAGTTATAAAAATCAAAATAATATGTCCAGTAGTAATTTAATGTCATGTAAAAAGAAGTTGAGTAATGACAGATTAGATATTGAACATCGACCAAGTTTGATGTATCCATTAGCGACGGATCAGTTTCTTAATTCACTTCTACCTTCTCAATTATCATTGATTCCAGCACCTCAAATATGGGTAGATGGTGAAGAGTTCGATGATCAGTTATCAGCTGCAAGTCATGTGTTTGATAATGGTTGTAATAATATTAACAATACTATCAAGTCATCTCAACCAATTTGTTCTACATCAGGTATAGAAACTACCGAAACAATTCAAAATCATCCTGATCACCATTATATTTATTCTCGTATGTCTATTGTTTCAGAGGAAATATTGCCTAATTCTATACAGATTTCATCAGATATACCATGTTGTACAGTGTTGAATGTTTCTGATGTAATACAAAATGATGATAATACTATGTCCAGTGCTGAGGATGGTGATGATGAACGGGAAGATTCTAGTTGGGAAGTTAAAACAATGAAATCAACAAATAAAATTCATATGAATTGTGATATGAATACGGTATCACGTAAATCAACATCATTGACAACTTCTACACTAAAAAATAATAACAACGACAATAACAACTGTAACAAAAACGATAATAATAATAATAACACAGATAATAACAAACATAAAAAGCCAATCGCCAAGAGAATGAATTATGTATAAGTGTGTAATTCAATTCAGTCTGTTTATTAAGTTTAACATAATCAATCTATCAATCAATTATTGACAATGAAAACAACGTTATTCAGTAATTCAAAACTCTGATTAACTTCATAATGAATAACCTACACACAAACTTACAAGTTTTAGGTGACTACCATACAAACCCACAATAGTTCACTGATGATTACTTCAGAAAGTATAGTTTCATAGTAACAATCATCTGTAAATTTTGACAAAATGATTATCATTATTGTTTTAATGTTAATGGCTATTTTGAATGTAGATATTATTATTATTACAACTGCTTCTAATATTTTTCTTCTAATAAGTGGTAAATACTTTATCAATCATTTTCATTTAATTTGATTTTCGCTTTTCTTTTGTTGTTTACTTCTGTCTATATATATAAATATATCCCTATGAAAGTTGTGATGAATAAGAATCGAATAATAAGATAATCACAAAACTTTATGCAATAACAACAACTACTACTACTAATACTACTGATTAAAACATCATTACAATATTCTAAGACTATAGTTATTTCCTAAAATGTAAAATGATTACTGCATTTTCTGATCTGCTTTTAATCGCATATTGTGTATTTTGCGGTGTTATAATATATCACCCCTTTTGTTCCCTCTTTTTTTCCACTATTAAGATATATTCAAATAATAATACGTATATTGTTTAATGTTCAATTGTAAGTAGATAGAAAGAAAATATTTCATTTATTGTTTGATGATGTAATTAAAAAGATAAGAATACCTGTGAAAAACGATTTTGTAAATTTAATAAATCAATTAGTTAGTAGTTAATCGTTTTTATTTAAATTTTAAATTTAGTTTGTTTTATACGCATCCACGGTCTCTCACGTCTGAGGAGTTTCATACTAGGACGAAACAACCGTTTAGTGCTTTCAGATTTTACATGATGTTTCAGCTTTAATCAACTCATGAACTCAACTATAAATAATATATTATAGCATATTCTTAGATACGTTATAATCGGACGATGATATTATCATTATTAGAGCATTTTAAGTACGAGTTCCAGAAGATAACCAAATTAGAAAACTGATAAAGTTTGTAGAAACAATATATTTAAACATGAGACCTCGAAATTTATTATGTAATGGAGGAGAAATGTCTCAGATCAGTTGTTACAAATTTTAACGACGATGCCTCATTGAGAACTTACAGCTAGTATTGTTTTATAAAATTAACATAGTCAGTATCAGTGTAGGATTTCGACGAAACTACTTGTGTTGGGGAAGTTTTCATAACAAAATGTCAGTTTTAAGTAAAGTGGCTAATTTGATGGTTGTATTAAATGAATTATGCATTTCAACGAGTTATGAGTTCTACAAAGATTACAAAGGAAAGCCATTGATGATTGTCAAATAAATTAAAAGGTGAACACAAGTATCATTACCAAAGTTTGGCTTCGGAATCGGGAATAAATTTCGAACATTAGAAATCCTATTTCTCATTTATTGCAACTCAACAAATAAAAGATTATTTTATTATTTTAAAATGAAAATGTTTGGAAAGTCATTGAAATAAAGTGTGTATTGTCTAGCTGATGCCATTTTACGATAAAAATCATCTACTGATCATCACTAATCACTACAAAGCAAATAGATCTATGATAATCTTACATTCAATCTTGACATGCTTTGAATGAGTACCCTGAAAATGTGCTGACATGTGCTTTGAGAATTTAACCAATTCAGCAGTTAAAGTATGGAATATTGACGACATTCAATAAGCTCAATCGATTCACTACAATTTAGTTTCATATCATCACGTGACTTCTGGTTAGAAAACCAGTAAAAACCCTGGAACTATTGGATAGCTGTCTCGTTTTGGCGTTAAACTCGCAAACGGTTCGCAAACCTAATCCTACCGAAGATTATATCTACTTAATTGGGGACTATTAGTTGCACCGTTTCTGAAAGTTAATAAACATTTCTAGTTGCCCAAGCTGAAATAAGTATGAAATATAAACTCAGTGATTAGATAATAGAATCCTGTAACCATCAAGTCAACTAACAAATTTTGAGCAAATGTAAATGTCGACAAGCCCCCAAATGCCCTGGTACGGCCGAGAGTGGGGAGAGCCCGCCCTCCCTCTCGAAACGCTCTCACGTGGCCACGCACATACAACCACTGCCAAAGAAGCCCTACTCACTGCCTTCTCGTGGCATTACTGTTGTTTAGGAAATTGAGAAGACGAAAAGCGAATGTCCGGCGCTATAACCTGGTTGATGGACACGGAAAACCCTGATTCCAAACCAGTGGTGAACATGGTCTCCAGTTTTCTGAGGGAACAAATGGCGTATGAACCAATCACTGGTCACCGGCTACCACGGAATTGCATCTCCTCACGATGCTCCACTGTCTTACGGATCAGACTTTTAGGTCGAAGGCTCCGGTGTGGCCCCTTAAAAAACCACCTGCTTCGGTCTGGGCACTCGGACAGTATTAGAGCCTTCACACAATTAAATGAAATGACGATTTTTGTGTGGCGCATATATATCTCGTGCCCTCTTATGTGTTCAAATAAATAATAATAATAAATGTCGACAAACCCACGAAACTGAAAACAGCTGATCTCATCCGATACTAGGAGAGAATTATATTAAATAATAAATGAACTAACAACTGAACTTTGACCTAATAATCTATATTTACCTTGATCGAGAACAGGTTTTCAGGTCCTCGTTTTTGGACATATATAAGGTAGTAGATTTGCACCACTAACTTACTTTACTTACTTACTTACGCCTGTTACCCCTCGTCGAGGAGCATAGGCCGCTCACCAGCATTCTCCATCCAACTCTGTCCTGAGCCTTCCTTTCCAGTTCTTTACAGTTGCTATTCATCCTTTTCATATCTGCTTCTATTTCCCGGCGTAGTGTGTTCTTTGGCCTTCCTCTTTTCCGCTTCCCTTCCGGATTCCAAGTTAGGGATTGAGTCGTGATGCACATTGGTGATTGCCTTAATGTATGTCCGATCCACTTCCAACGTCTTTTCCTAATTTCCTCTTCAGCTGGAAGCTGGTTTGTCCTCTCCCATAAAACGCTGTTGCTGATAGTATCCGGCCAATGGATGTTGAGTATTTTGCACAAACAACTGTATATAAATACTTGTACCTTCCTGATGATGGTCGTAGTAGTTCTCCACGTTTCAGCTCCATACAGTAGGACTGTCTTGACGTTCGTATTAAAGATTCTGACCTTGATATTAGTTGAGAGTTGTTTTGAATTCCATATGTTCTTCAATTGTAGAAATGCTGCCCTTGCTTTGCCAATCCTCGCCTTTACATCTGCATCCGATCCTCCTTGTTTATCAATGATGCTTCCCAGGTACGTGAATGTTTCCACCTCTTCCGTAGTGTCGCAACCTGGTCTGTGCGCGACCTATCCTTACGGAATCCAGGCTGTTGATCCCTAAGTTCGGCGTCTACTGCGTCTTTCATCCGATTCAGCAGCACTCTGTTGAAAACTTTTCCTGGTACTGATAACAAACTGATGCCTCTGTAATTCTCACATTTGCTCAGGTCTCCTCTCTTTGGTATCTTGATGAGATATCCTTCTTTCCAGTCCATTGGCATTTGTTTCTCTTCCCAAATCTTCTGGAATAGAAGGTAAAGCATGTTTGCAGTTATTTCAGTGTCTGACTTCAGTGCTTCTGCTGGTATATTGTCAGGTCCTGCCGCCTTCGCACTTTTGATTTGTCTGATGGCCATCTTGATTTCTTCGATCGTTGATGGAGTGACATCTATAGGAAGGTCAGTGTGTGCTGCTTCGATGTTCGGTGGATTCAATGGGGCTGGTCTATTCAGTAGTTCCGAAATTCGAAAAAACATTTAACTAGTTCACTGTGATCTTTCGGCTGACAATAATTCAAGATAAAAACGATTCCAAAAATGTATGTTTAACTCTTTAAATGCCGAAAAGGGTTGATTAACTAATTCTTTTAAATCAATCTTAATAAAGATTTCTCAATATTCATTAAGTAAAACATAATCTTTCCTATCATCTAATTTTTAAATAAAGTTGGAAATATAGAAATTACATTCACTTTTCAGAATATATTATTATGGTAAACATACAAAAAAGTGATGTATCCTAATGTATTTTTTTTAATATTTAAAACTGGAATATGTAACATCGGTTGGAGTTTCGTCAAATATCTTTCGGTATTACTGGTGTTTTTTTTATGAAACAGTGATTTTCTTTGATGCTGTGACTTATATATATATATATATATATATATATATATATATATATATATATATATATATATATATATATATATATATATATATATTCAGAATTGTAATTTACATATTTACATTCATTTTTTAACCCCTGTTCATTTATGAATCTTTCAAATAGACTATTTTAATTCACATATAATATCCGTTCGAAAAATGACGTAATATGGTAGAAACTAAAATTATACTTTAGATCTCTACCGAATATATAATAAATTTTATTCCAAAAACGTTTCCAACAAAAGAGAATTTCCTTTAATATAAGAGCATGAATTAGATTAAAAATGCCTATTCCTTTTTTTCAGATTATATTAAGTTTGAATTTGCTGTTTCAAAAAAAAGAAAAAGCAACTCATTTAGTGTATTTTCGTTTATTGTGAACAAATTTTGATTATTTATTTTTGGATAAAAGATGGCAAAGGAAATGAAAAAAAGATTACCAAGGAAAACCTGGAAGCACTGAACAGCCGTTTCATCCTATTGTGGATTTTCTCAGCAGTGCGCATCCACGACCTCACCTCGCGAGATTCGAACCCAGGATCTACCAGCACTCATACTAGATCTCCACAAAACCCCTACTGATTATGAAAAAAATAGTTTAATCTTATATAAGGTTGATCTCTTGGATATATCTGAACCTTTGGATTCATATTAACATTGAAACTCGATCCCAACACTTTCTATTTCGAACGTCTGACTTTTAATCTATCAAACTACTGAGTTCGGGAAACGATCATCTATTTGTTCAATGAGTTTGAAATTTTTCATTGTTGATTTGTAAGCTGA